TCCCCCGTGCTGCATACAGGGGAAGAATCACTTCCCTCAATCTGCTGGCAATGCTCCTACTGATGCAGCCCAGGATGCTGTTAGCCTTCTTGGCAAGAAGAACACACTGCTGGATCATATCCAGCTTCTTGTCCACTGTCATCCCCAGGCCATTTTCTGCAGAACTGATGCCCAGTCTGTTGCCCTCTCCCCCTCCCCCCAGCCTGTATTGGTGCATGGGATTGTTCTGTCCTAAGTGCAGCACTTTGCACTTGTCCTTATTGAACCTCATGATATTTTTTTGGTCCAGTCCTCCAGTTTGTCTAGGTCTCTCTGAAGAGATATTTGTCTAAAGTCAAACCTTTGGATATGTCCAAAGTCAGACCTTCCTGACCATTCATAAAAGTGGATGGGACCTCTACCAACCTCTAAGCATTGCATCTTTAAGGTAGAGCAAGTAGCTAAATAGGTTCCAAAATTAATTCTTTTGGTTAACCTCAGATTAGGCCAGTGACAGTTTGAACCACAGGTATGAATGAGAGAATTTTACAACCACCATTTTACCACTGGGCACTGTCTGGAAGACTTCCTTCATAGAATGAGCTCATGCTTGCACCACTGAGATTAGCACCTGTTTTGATAAAGTACAGAAAAGGTTAACCTGAGGAGTCATGCAGATTTCAGGCTTGCAGACATGGCTGATAAGTACTAAAATGCTGATATGTTTAAACTTGGGAGCCATGAACACCTTGTTCTCCTTCCTTCTACTGGTACAAACAGTATCAAGTAGAAATGCATCCTTAGATTGACAGTAGTTGTTTACACCCATGTAAAACAGGTGCAGAGTCCCGTAATATCAAAACAGAAAGATCAAGTACGCATTTTGCTCCCTTTTCCCTTTGGAGCAAGTAAAATCATGTTCCATTTTCCACAAGTTACCACAAATTTGGTTGTAGTCTTAGAGTACCCCTTCTCCACATCGTAAATCTATCTCAACTGGGCCAGGACAGCAAGAAGGGTATGAAATATCATCTCCAAGAACTGCAGAATTTATCTGAACATGGGGTCAAAATTCACTACTGACAAACTCACAAATTCAAACTAACACAAACTCGGTCATGGCTCTAAACCTCTTCAGATGGGTGCAGCATGGTTTGACACAAAATGGGTTTTTGTCACACTGCACAAGTTAATACCGTATTTCTTGCACATATAACACACCCCCAAATAAGATTCAAACCTTGTTTTTGAAACACAGAATGAAAAAAAAATATCTTTCTTTGAAAATACTGATAAGTAGCAGTGAGAAATTGAGTAGGAGCTTCTGGTACATTAGCTTCTGCTGGACCAATGCCCACTATGAAATACATCCAACTTCACACTTATTTTCCCCTGGCATAGGCAGGAAATGCTATTCTCAAATTTCCTTGCTTATAGCACACACTCCAATTTCTAGCAGCTAATTTTGGGAAGGAGGATGGATGTGCATGTTGTATGCAAGAAATCATGGTATATCTGGCTGGGGAGACATTTTGACCTTGAGCTCTTGCCATTAAGAACAACAATGGTTCATGTTCAAAGCTGAGTCGGAAGTCCAGAGCCCTTCACTACAAAGGGAGTGGCTCATTGTTCCCCTCCTTTGTTATGTTCTTGTCACATTTTCCAACTTAATCAAATTTTGCTGTTTCTGTCACAGTTTATCCCTAAATTGTAAGGCGTTTTCCTGAGCCATTAGTCTTACCAAGCATGATCTGAGACTCCTTGAGAACAAAAGATTTCAAAGGTCTTCAAAAGCAGTCATTAATGGATGATATATGCAAATTGGTGCATTAGGATAACAACTGAATTTAGTCGCCCTAGAATTAAGCAATTACATTGCTGGAAAATATTCAAGTTCAATTGCTCTTCTCCTCCCTCTGTGTAAAATATTTATACACATCAGAAATAAAACCTAAAATGAAGCCTTGCATTTATAAAAAGAAACATTCCTGTTAAAGTTTATGAAAGAAATCCTCACAGAGACCCCAAAATAATTCCCACGAACCAACTGATATCAAAACACTAGCTCCCTCTTTTTCAGCGTCTCTTTTATACCATTTAAAAGGTCAACCCGTTTCTCACATGGCACATCTGCGAATATATTGACTGGTCTGCTTGTTACTTATTTAAATCTCTCTTGACTGTTGATCATCTCCCACCTCCCCAGGGACTTTTCTCAGTACAGAAAAGAAGGGAGAGATAAGGTAGCATGGTGGTTGATGCTCGAGATTTTCTGGACTAACTGACTATTCTGGCTTCCCAGAAGGATCTTCAGAGAGTGGATGCTCATCAGAGGAGACCCCAAACCCAGTTCTTGGTCTCCAGTTTGGTGACCAAGACTTGAAGTGCTTCTGAAACTCTTTGCTTTGGGCTTAGCCATGGCCCCACTTCATGTGGGGGAAGTGGGCACTGGCATGTTCTTCTTTACTGATACCAGGGATTCACTGATGCTCATGGCCAAGCAGCTCAACACAGGACTGTGACCAAGGTGACTCATTTCTTTCTAAGGAACTTCATTTTCAGCCAAATTCAGGAGGGCAGCACCTCTTCCTTTTACCCTGAGCTGTAGAAGAGTAGAGAGCTATTCCATCTCCCATAGTGCCAAACCCACCTCTGTGATGGGTCCAGGGGTCAGGGCAAGCTCTCAGGTGTTCTCAGAAGACTGCATTGGCATATACCCACTGAATACATACAGTAGTGGCATTTCCACATGTCCAAATGCAAGCTACCACAATTTTGAAATGGACACTGGTTCTGCAGAAGGGTAAATTTATTTACCTCTTTGGACCATGAAGATGCCTAGGGAAGGGCACGTGTCTCCCAGAATTGTTAGAGTTGGTTGTTTTTTTTTCAGTCTGGGATTAACCTGGGTATTTCAGTGCCACCAATTGCCTCTCCCTGGGATGGATTGAAGCAAACTATAAGCCAGAGTACAGTGAGGCAAAAGGAAAACAATTTTGATGCTGGGACCTGCTACTCAACCAGTTTAGAACATGCCAAGTGGTTTCACGTTTGTACTGAACAGCTGTATACATCGTTTGCCACAAAAACCATGTTCAGTTCTCCCCTTCATTTGTTTCCATCCCTTGATTCTGGTTCATGTAATAAAGGCACAGCTCTTATGCTGTAAATTATATCTAAATTAAGAGGCATCTTCATGTGGACACTCATCTGACATCCTGCGGCTTCCTCAGAACAAAGGCTTCACAAAGCACTGCACAGACAGCTATTAACATTTTATGGAGGAACAGAGCCATATAATCATAGCATTTAAAGTGCGCAACAAGATTTAGATACCCCATTATTAAGCAATATCATCACTGTCCAAATAAGCAAGCAATTTTTACACTTACCTCCTTTTCTAATCATGGGAGGCAGCCACACAGCCGTGGCGGTATGGTTTCTATTACAAAGTAACTATGTGGGCATTTTCATTAAAATGTCCTTTTGCACCTGCTGGGCAAAAGTCTCAGCTAATGAACAGACTTTTGAATTGCTAGTGCCTCTCATCTGCTTATGCTTTTTGGCTCTGACATGCAAAAAAAGCTGAGGAAGAATGCTGTGGGTATTTAGGGCTTGAGGGTAAGACATTTGACCAATGTTTTAAAGAAAGATTCTCTTCTTCATCCTCCTACTGTGTTAAACAGAAGATTATATTTACTTTGTCAAAGAGATTAACGTGGAGATACTGGTTTTCTCTTTATCTCTTCCAATAATACAATGCCTATGTTTCCTAAGGAAATTCCATCCAGTACTGGCCATTCTGAAAATCCTTCTTATTCTTAGCTCTACATGGGGATGCCCCAAGAGAATTTCCTTCTTCCCCTAATAGGAGAGGCTCTGCTTTCATAAAATGTTTTTGAAACCATTCTAGTACATTGGGGTGGTCGCAAATCTGTCTTGCAACCTCTCTTATAGGCAGGAAGGTCCATCCAGGCCTCATAGCTCATTGGACAGTGTGGGTAAGGTGCACTAGTTTATACCCATTGGCACACTAAGGATGGCATCATGCCCACCTGGCTTTGACTCCCCAGTGGACCATGGATCCATTTCCAGCCACTAGGAACTTGACCTCATGCCTCCACAGCCATAACAAGATGCCTTAAGGGGTCACTGCCTCCCTCCTCTCTCCTCCAGGGTTTCCAATTCCAGATGTTTCCTTCACCCAGGGATCCAGCTTCACAGACAAAAGGAAGCAACCCTCCCTCTGTCCTTGGCACACCCCCCGAAGTAAACAGCTGTCTTGCTGGCTCATGGATGGAGTTGCAGGTTCAAGGATTTTAATCCAAAGCTTTTATAAAGCACTGTTGCGCTGTTTCTTTTTTCCCACCATCATCTTCATGTCAAATGCAAACCTTCAACAGGGAACCTCTCTCATGCTCCATATGACAGATTCTGAGTCTCTCACCCCAAAAAGTCTTTCAGAGTGCATTTGGCCATCACTGTCAAGTGAAACTCACCCTACAGTTGTGTTACACAAGGCCCACACAGAACTTTAGGTCCACTTTGGCTCCGTTTTACTTGTGAATTTCCAGAATGGTAGTAGAAATGTTAAGCATGCAGAATAAAGACTCCCACCAACCTAGAAGCTGCAAAGGTAAGCAACATTTTGTTTGGTGGAATGAAACGTGAAGATGGTTCAAGGGCAAAGTCCACCAAATAAAAAAATTAGTAAAATATGCAGCCAGCTTAATTTCTGCTGTAATTTTTGTGAGGTCAGATGGAACAATACCAAGAATAATTTGGCCTGCAAAGTTTCAAGATGAAAGAAATCTACATGGTGGAATGTGCATGTCATGCCATGTGGAAATTAGATGAACTGAACAACCACAATCAGCAAAAACAATTTAATCAGTTGGATGAGTTACACATGCAAGCAACTTTTGGTTGGCAAATAATTAGGGCTTCATGAGCATCACAGATCCCCCAGGCAGTCTGAAAAACAATATAAAAGCTCTCAACTCAAGGCTCTACAACATCACTTCTCTTGCATGATCCTCCTTGGTAAATTGGGTAAGTCAGAAACCACCTCAAATCATTCTAAATACCTAAATATTGCTTTAAAGATAGTTTTAGCTGAGGACTACAAATTCTATCAACGTTCATTGATGCTTCACAGTGTTACAGGTTTTCTTTCCATAAGAGTCTTTTTGTGGTTATTCAGCTGCAATTATCAGTGATTAGGAGCTTCTGGAGGCTATGTTAAAAAAAGGCATAGATGCTTGGGATACCTTTTTCCCATTAATTCACTTATGAGCATGCAAGTCCATTAGGCATTATGGGAAATAGAAGCCTGTCAGCATTTTGGGGTCTTGTCAGAACAGTTCCAGAGCAATGTAGAAGTGAAAATAGACAATGCAATGTAGCAGAGTTGAAGTATGAGGTCCGTTAAAGGAATGCATGTTCTCAGGATTTAGGTGCTAAATTGGGATGCAGAAAGCCTATATTAAGCTTTGGTTATGTTTTGGACTTCCTGGGGAAACCAGGTCAAGTCTTCTAAGGAAAGATATTTGAGAGAGCTCAGACCCCAGTTCACAAAGTTATAACCTTTTTTCCCCTTTAGTCTTTCAAGTCAAGTTGCGAAGAGCTCATGGCAGAGCATGCCTCTCTTTTCCCATGCCCAGCACAGTAGGAATCTGATCTCTACTTCCATTTGTAGGAACAAATATTCAGACATGCAACAAGTAGGCATGCCTGCGTTCTAGCCCTAGATGTTTCAGTGACTCACCAAATGGCCATGAGCAGGTCATTTAACCTTTCCATTTTAATTTTCCCTGCCTACAAAAGAGGGATAATTTCTTATTTTACAAGGTAAGGTCAGGTAAGGAGGCTGCACAGAGGAGCAAAAGGCAAATTGTTACATGAGTGCTAAATAGAATTTGCTATTAGTATCCCAGCTGGAAAAAAGGAAGAGTTTCTAGTGGCAGGACATGAGGATCCAGAAAGAGAGTCTGAGAGGAGAAGAGAGGTGACTGGATGTGGCCAAAGGTAAGATGGTCTTCAATGGCATTTCTGCACATCCAGGGAGTAAGGGCCACATTCTAGTGGCAACTGAAGCTGAAGTCTGAAGTGATTGCTACGCCCTTCCCATAACCACAGAATATAAGCAATGAACCCTTTTGGCTACTCCAACCTGTGCACTGTGTCTACCCTACTCCTTACTGCATGTTTCAGGCTGATCTCCACACCAAGATGGCCTGCACTGACCTGTGCTACCCCTCCAGTGACATTGTCTGCCCAACACCCATTGCCAACAGCTACAATGACCTGTGTGTGAGACAGTGCCCTGACTCGAGGGCAGTGATCCAGCCACCACCAGTTGTTGTGACCTTCCCAGGCCCCATTCTCAGCAGCTTCCCTCAGGAGAGCATCGTGGGATCTTCAGGAGCACCTGGTGTGGGGGGCTATGGCAGTTCTTTTGGCACCCGTTTTGGGTACAGTGGCTTGGGGGGATCCCTTAGCTATGGCAGTTCTGGTGGCTATGGAGGAGATGGTTATGAAGGCCTTGGTGGGGGCTATGTGGGTGGATCCCTTGGCTATCGTGGTGGATCCCTTGGCTACAGCGGTGGATTGTGTGGTTCTGGAAGCTTGTATAATTATGGAAGGTTGTCTGGTTCAGGCTTTGGCTATGGTTATTGCAGCCCTTTTTCTTACCGTCGGTACAATAGGTACCGCCGTGGGAGCTGTGGGCCATGCTAAGCCCAACAGGAAAATGCACAGAACAAGGAACAGCCAGGAAATTAGAAGAAAAATCCAGATTTGTTACTGAGCATAATGGACATGGCTTTCTGAAATGCCAACACCCAGGGTTTCCTCTGAAGTTAATACACTAGTGAGTGCTGGGCACTTCCTAAAGTCAGGTCCATGCTTGTCTTACTCCCATTACATTCTAGCTTGTATTTCTCATTTAACAGTCTTGATTTATGGGGCTTTATGGCACTCTAGCAACAAGGGCAAAACATGTAACTTAAAATGTTAGGACATGGGACCTGCCTGTCAATCATGGTGTTAACACAGGAAGAAGAATATCTTGAAACAGATGATTGGTTGTTTTCTTTTGTAAAAATCTTCATCCTTTGTAAATGTACACTTGATTTCTCATTCCTAATAAAATTTCCCAGCATCATATCATTGGCCTTTTGAATTTCCTGTCTCTTCTGACATTTACCCACTGCTCAGGATGAACTTCACCCCTAGGTTGATGATCAATGCTAGGCTTATGAGCCACTTACAATTGTTACTCAAGTCCTACAATGCAGGGAGAACTGGCAACATTGCATGGTCTATGGTACCGCACCATTTCCAGGGCCTGGGACTCAACAGCAATAAGCCAGGGAGACCATCCATGAGCTTGAGTCTATAGGCAGTCAGGGTGCAAGACTCTAGAGAAGCCCCTGGGGGATAACACCACACCAGTTGTTCTCAACCTTTTTAGATTCAAGGTGCCCCTCAGAAAACACCAGCTCTTACTTTTCACTCTTTTGACTACAGAAGAATAACAGAGCAATTCTTCTGTTACAAAGAATTCAGAAAGTCCACAATAGGTCAGAATGGTTTTAACATTATGGATGTCTATTTGAAATTTCTCAGTGTATCTCATGAATTGTGTATGCACATCTGAGACTGCTAATTTTGTTATTCCACGCTGCAGCACCCTTGAAAGGACCTCAAGGGACCCTGGTTGAGAATCACTGCCCTACACCTAGCAATCCCCAATCTGCCAGACACAGACTCCCCCAGTTACCACCGCCAAGACTTTCCCTTTCATGGATTTTTTTTAAATTTCAGAGATTTCATCACTGAAGTGAACAAAACAAATTTCCAGCTATCAAAGCCCTCCACTATGTAGATTTCCCTTGCTCCATACAACTGCACTCCAGACAAATGGGAGGACTGCCTCTCTACTACGTTCTTCTTTCATTCTCTTGGCATCAGCACAAATCAGGTACAGTCCTGTAGTGCCTCTCAGAGTCTGACTGGAGCATTGCTTAATGACTTCAGGCAGTGTGGGAAGGTTATTTTCCACTATGTTATTTTAACTCAGCATATTTTGACTGCCTCTCATGAGCCTGAAGCCATTCAACACAAGGCTTATGTACAAACACAAGTCTTCACAACTGGATTTAAAGTGAATCGTAATGGGCACCCGCTCTGAGAAAGGTGCATTTTATTCTATAATGACTAGGACCAATGGCATGAAAGGATCTGCAGTCATTCCAACAATTTCTCTTTCAAACAGGGACTCATAGTAATCATCCCACAGTGCATCAAAAAGGTTTATGTCCTTTGGAGGAGAGGAAGGGAAATGGGCAAGAGAAAGAAATTGTATGCATTGTATAGGTTTTGGAGTAATTGTCTTGAACCTTAATAACCATCAGTAAGCTCCTAAGATAGATCTGCTCTGCTTGGCGAAAGTGAAGGAGAAGAGTCATCAAAGAAGAAAAGAGTAACTGAGTTGCCTGTAAACACTGAGAGCCTGTCTAATGAAACACAAGGCCAACATGTTCAACATTAGCAACAAAGGGCCTCAAGTCTGTAGCAAGATGTAAAGAAGGGGAAGAGATGTGGGTTGATGAGGAAAGAGCAGAAGAGTAGAGATAAAGGGTTATCTGCATCATCTGCCCTGTAGAAAAATTTCAGAGATGTGAGGCCTGTGCTGAATAAGAACTACCTACCTCCGGGGTGGGTCTACACGTGCACATCTATTGCACAGTAACCAAAATTACTGCACAGAATGGGTGCATGTCTACATGTGCATGCTTGTGCCATGCAGTAAATGTGGTGACTAGGCCTGTGTGAAGAGGCTAGTATTTGCTTCGGATTTGGATTCAGCTGATTTGGGGGACAGTGATTCGATTTGGTGATTCAATTTACTGTCCCAAATCCATTCGGCCGAATCTGATTCAGAGATTCGGCTGCTGCTGAATCGCTGAATCACACAGGCCCATCCTCTGCCCTCTCTCCCAGCCCCAGCAATGGCTGCCCCACCCACCCTAGCTCTCAGCACTTTGAAAAAAAAGTCCCAGCTCACAGGGTGCTGTCGGGTGGGGAGACGAACCCAGCTGTCTTCCACTGTCCCATGCTGCATGGGGTGCTCTGCATGAGCCCCTTGACCCCCCCCCCCACTTCTCCACCCTCAGCTGACCATGAC